GAACTTAACCAAAAATTCCTTCAACTTCAAATTCACCACTTTGTGCTTGACTTCCTTCCTTCTTTCCTAGCTTTCTCCTAAACTACAAAACAACAACCAAATACTTGTAAGTTACCTAAAAACATGATTCAAAAACAAAATGTGATCACCTAACAATTTAGATATGTTTTGAGTTAAAAACAAAGTCTAAAGCAAGGAAAATTGATATAAGTGCTTCAAACTAGGCCATAAACTTAATGAAATCATAGCACTTATCAAATACCTTCGTGGATAGTATGTTTTTGCGTATATTAAAATTCGCAAGAAATTTTCCAGCAAAATTTCTTGCGAAAAAAAATCGCAAGAAAGTTTCCTGCGAATTTTTTCGCAAGAAATTTTGCAGGAATATTTTTTACGAAAAAAATAAAGAAATTACTATAAATTCTATCAATAATTTTTTAACTTTCAAATGCGCACAATGAATTCATCTGAAACATTTGTTTCCATGCCTCCAACATGTGATACATAATCTTTTAAATTCTAAAATGGTAGATTATAAGCCTAATACTCAACCATATAAATCAACTTGTAATTAAGGTAAGTGTTGCCCAAACTTATATACTCTTTAATTGTTTTATTTTCAATCGATGTGGGACTTGAAGTTTTTTTAAAATATTAAACTTATAAATTTAAATATATATTTTTTTATTTTTCCTGCAGATTAAAATTTGCAGGAAAATCCGCAGGAAAAGTTACCTGCAAAATTTTTCTACATTTAGTAAACATTACTTGCGAATTTATTTTTGCAAGAAAATCTGCAAGAAACAAAATAAAATTCTTACAATATTTTCTGCAAATTTTTATCATGGAAAAAAATTTCTATGATTATTAAAATTGTAGCAAAATTTGTAAGAAATATCTGTAAATTATTTTTCGTAAATAAATTTGCAAAAAATTTCTGCGAATATTTTTTCAAGAAAATTCGTAAAAATTTTCTACAAATATTTTTTTATAAAAAAATTTGTAAGAAAATAATACTTTTCTAGTAGTATATGACAAAAGGCACTCAGTTTCATTTATCAATATTTAGGTGACTAAATTTTTAAGGATGTGACAGAAGAAAACAAAATGTATACTTCCAAGATGTTGATGTCAAGAAGTTGTAGCTACAAATATGTCATGAGTTTAATGCTTTGCACGATTCCCTTGTACAACACAACACTATCGGCCAATTGAGGCAATCAGGAACTTACATTATCGAAAGAACGTTCATGCACCAAACTCATTAATCAATTATTATTCTTATCCATTATCTATCATAAAAGAAAATTTTATCACGTAAGCAAATGTCACGTAGCACTATCATATTTTTTTTTTCACTTAAATTTATTGATTTTTTAATTATTGAAATATATTATATTGAATTATATTAATTAAGATTACAATGATTATAAAAAGTGTATATTTCAATTAAACCATTATATTAAATCATTACTGGATATTTTTTTTAAACATATAATTAATTTTAGAAAAATCATAATAATTTTAAAATAATAATTAAATTTATAAATAAAAAGATAAATTGTGAAAGTGTAATATATTTGAATTTGTAAGAGAGGAAGATATTATTTTAATACAAGAAAAGAAAGTGATGCAATATTTACATCTGTGAGAGAATCTTAGGGGGTGTATTGGATTAGGATTTTAAAGGACAGTTTGAAGACGCTTGACTATACATCGATTAGATAATCAAGGAGCCACTAAAACCTTGAGTTCAAAAGAACATATCCCGGCGATAATCACAAACGGCATGGATAAAAAGGATCCTGCGAGCCTTGTCGGAAATCACACCCAAGGTGATAACCAGTTATTCTAGCCTGAAATACTGCGACAAACCTTAGAGATTGCCAGGTGACGGTGACAGAGGTACTGGGTCCCTATAATGGGGGCACCTTGGGAGCCTGAA